GTCCGTGACCCCGGGGATCCTTAGTGCTACCAAAGTAAACTCCCGTAGGAAGTCATTGTACGTTGCGAAGTTCTTCCTCTGGACTGCCGCTAAATCGGCCTCCGTTGCCATCTTCTCTGCTGCCAGATACTTTCTCATCATCACATCCCGGATTTCTTTCCAAGACCGGCTTGCGGCCACGATGGCCATTATGTCCCGTCCTAGGCTCAAAGACACATGCTGTCCCATGTGGTCCATCTTCTCCTCTTCGGTCCATTTCAACAGCGCAGCCAGATTCTCGTAATCTATCATAAATTGCGTGATGTTCGCCCCATCAAACGTCAACTTTTTCTTAGCATCCGCTAGGTAGCCTTGATTTTTGTTTAGTGCTCGCGCGAGGGACGATATTATCTTCTTAAGGCCGCCCTCAGAGCTGCTGGCCACGCCTGTCACACTGTTATCTGGACCTTCCTTGCCGGCCTTTTGTCCCTCCCTGGTTTTCGTAGTTCCTTCCGGGTCAAACGATCCCAACACTCTTTCCCTAAGGCTCCAGAGTCCTTCGCGCCCTCGCGTCACCACTGGCGCGGTCGGCAGGCGGCTAGCCCTACTATCTATGGCTGGCGGGGTCGTAGCCTTTTCCTGGTTCATCCCCGGAGAGTTCTCCCCCTCTTTCCTTCTTTTGCTCGGCGTTCCCCCACGGTCACTACCTTTACCCCCTTGTCCAGTCCCACCTCGGCCGGTTCTCCGTTCGTCCCGGGGCTCCTCCTGCAGAGAGCCTTCTTCATTCTCAATCATCATTTCCTCAATCAATCTTGCCTTGTACTCCGCGGTCCTTTTGTCTATCTCGACTAGTTTGCGCCTCGTATCCGTGACCCTTACTTTCTTAGACACGGCACCTTCCGAGTTCCCGGGGCTTGTCCTATCCTTATTTCTACCTTCCTTGGTCCCCTGAGTCCCTTGCCTGCTTCCCTCAGCTTTCCCCGAGCTTTCCCCTGTGGAGATCTCCTTCCGGTTTTCTTTGGTACCATCCGGATTTATCGATTCTCTGTCCTTTTGCCCCCCTTCGCTTTGTGCGGCACTGCCTCCTAAGCCTGGTTCCCCTTCACTCTTATGATTATCTCTCCTCCTTCGTTGCCATTTTGCCTAGTTCTGCATAAGCCAAAGAATTCCCAGGACACACGCAATGCGAGGTTTTTAGGTTCCCTAGGSCCCTAGCTCTGTTGGCTTATCTTTATAGTCTCCTTTCTTATCCTTGTTTCCTGATTGCCCTTCCTTAAGGAGGAGCCACGACCGGCTCTGCCGCCCAGCCGAGCTATGAACGTGACTGGCTTTATTTATCACAAGCCCATTTGTAGTGCCCTTGTCCCGTCAGCTGACGCGAGGGAGTCCGGGTTAGGCATCCTGCTAAGGGAAGCCTTCCCGAGCAGCGTTTCCCGTTTTTTACCCTCCGGATCATGGTAACTCATTAGGAGTCTACCCCCTTCTTTGTTTTTCTAGTGGGTTTTAGCCATCCGGGTCGAGGCCCCTTTCTTATTCCCATCGCCGAATTTCCGCACGCAGCGAACTATACTGGATCTGCCCTATTGGCCTGCCTGCGGGTCCTAGTCCCGCTCGCGCCCTCGTGGTTCTTCCGGTTCGGTCGGCTCCTCGAATAGTTCAGCCACCCCTGCCAAATAACTCTCTCCTATCTCGATTTTCCTTTGGATTATGCGTTCGTGCCCTTTCTGGTCTAGCTAGGGCGCACGAAATATCAGGATATGGATGACCTCCAGTAACTCGTGGGCCCTGTTTCCCCAGAATGGCCCATGCCTCACGGCGACATCATAGAAAATCCCGATGGTTAGAGAGGAAAAGTGGTTTGCCCACATTATTGCCGAGTCCGCCAGCTCTCGCGCCCTTGCGAGGCTCCCGAAGACGAGATCTATCATAAAACGGGGGACCCGGCACCTCAGCGGTGTGGTTGGTGCTCTGAATTCACGCCATTCCCCCATTTCCACCCGGGTAAGTAAGCCCACGTTCCTTCTACCCCTGACTGATTGTCCTATCCGGGTCAACGTCCGAGCGGCCCTTTGAAAAACCGGCGCCAGCTCATGACCTTGTGCTATTTCTACCCCCAACGAGTGTCAGCCGAGCTCCGGCAGATGCATGGTCCCGGTAACTTCCAGATTGGAAAACAGATCATCCCCGGGTCCTCGGTCGAGTCTCATCCCTGTCCACCGACATTGTACCAACATGAAGGCGGCGTCCCTCCCCAAAGTCACAGCCCGCCATTCTATATCGAACCCCCGATAAGTTGAACTCGACGGGAGGGATACTTTCCAACGTCCACCGTTATTCCACGGCGGTCCGGGGTAGCGGGGTTGGCGCGCCATTCGCACACGGGCCTGAAGTTCCCTATGCTCACGTCTTGCTGTCATGGGTACCTTGGTGATTTCCTGCATGATCCACATGGAAAGTGTTACAGCCAATCCTTAGAAACCGTCCACCTACTGCCCCCTTGCCCTTCGTGTTTTTCAACTTTCTTTTCTGGTTCCAACTATCCCTCCACACCTCCGGGAGCAGTAGCCTTTTCTGGGTGTTCATACAATTGGTACAGGTCGTCTATGTGGGTCGCGCCCCGGCCTACCTCCCGCCGGATGACTCCCCACAAGGCCTCGTCATCTATTTGTGGGACTCCCGGCCTAGTATCTATTGCCGCCCGTAGAATGCAAAGCACTTCGCGGCCCTGTTCGTCCCCGAAAGCCCCCATCTCTAGAAAGGCCCGATAGTATTCTCGATACATTAATGCTTCGTCAAAATTTAGCCTAGTTACGTCAGTCACCGCCTGCTCCACTCGTTCTATGCCCCCCATTCGTCTTAGCAGGGAGGGTGGTAGACTCATCCGTACGACCTCATTTGGCAGCTCAAAACCCCCCGCCGCGGCGACTTTTACCTCTGCCGTTACGTCATCTCGTTCCGGGTCTGCAAACTCAAAGCCCTCCCGCCAGGTTATTTGCCGTGCCCCTTCGAACATTCGCACGGGGTCATCCCCGGAAGCCAAAGCAATCCCCAAGGTCCGCCATCCCTCTTCCGACAGGTGTAAGGATCCCGTCGCGTGTACACGCCCTGGGCGGTTCAAGTCTACGCACCCGAAGTCCCCTCTCGCCCGCCATTCTAGCTTCACTACTAGGTATACCGTATCTTCCACCAAATCTACCCCCACCCAGTCCATTACCGGATTGCCTACCATATTTCTCGCCGGCAGGCTTATTTCAACCCTGCCCTCTGATATTCTTGGTGGCAGTATCCCACGCGGTCTATCCGCCCAGAACGTTATTCGCCGAGCCATCTCGCAATATCTCCTTTCCTGCTTTCTTAGTCCGATCGCTGCACCCACCGAGATTCCATGCCTTTCGTGTTTTAGTCTTTCGACCCTCCCTACTTATCGTACACTGGTTCCTGCCGCTATCCCCAACTCATASACGTTCGATTCTACCCGACCCYCATTTTCTAGTTGCTGTCACTTCCTCCTTGTTTCGATCCTTATGCACCATCTACGGCCTAATGTACACRCCCCCTTTCTTATGTTACACCTTACTTCACAAGCACACTCCATACTCARCCTTTTTCGTTRTGTTCGATTCCTTGSCCTCATTMAGTCGAACCACWGTACCTCAAATAGTTTAAAGACGTCGTCTACGTAGGAGGGTGCAGTCGCTGCTCCCGGCTAACTATGACGTCCCAAGACTCCGCCTCTACCACTAGGCGGTCATACCTGCCTATTCTTAGGAGGATGACGACTTCCTCGACTTTATCTCCGTAGAAGGGCCCATATTTCAATGAGAGCCTATAGAACTCCTCAGTCAACCAGGCACACTCTATATGCACCCTTCTCATGGAGTCGGCTACTTCTAAAAATGTGCTCACACCCCCCAAACCACTCGGCTATGAATTTCGTTACCCAAGCCGTTGTCCGTAGACTTGGAGGTTTGAATTCCTTCCATCCTCCCATCACAACTCTGCTACTAACTTCGTCCCATCCCTCGTTGGCGAACAACTTGCCTTCCTTTCGGGTTCGGGCCTCTGCATCCCCTAGAAGCCACATCGGGTCCTGTCCCATTGCTAACATGGTGCAAAAAAGGTGCCATCCATCCTCGGAAAGGACAATCGTTCCAACTGACTCTACCTTGCCTTCAGCTATATCATCCCAAACTTCCTCTTCCCTTATCGGGTTCCAAATCCGCTCTATCCATACATATGACAAGTCCCGGGCAACCTCAAACCCAATCTAGTCGCATGGGGTACTCTCCATCCGTTCCCTGTTGGTATAGGGATTTGTATTCCTCCTCTGAGTCGTCGTGGTTCCCAGCCTTTGAAGGGGTATTCCATCATCCTTTCTTCTCTAGTCATGTTTCCCTTTCCTGCACAATACCAGGCCACCCGTCCTTCCTAAGTTAAGCTTCCCCACCCCTCTCAGAAGTCTCAGTCCTCTATCTCTTCATCTTCGTCTTCATCACTGAAGTCATCCTTCTCATCGTATACCAACTCCCTTACCCCATCTAGAAACGTCTCCCCTATTGCCACATTCCTATAGACTATCCCCCAATGCACAACGCTAGGGACAAAGATATTGTCTATGCTAAGGCCGTTTAGTATCTCGGCTAGCTCCTACGCCCAGTTCCCCTCGAACGGCCCCATTTCTACTAATAACCGAAAAAAATCTTGCCTGGCGCATTCGTATAGCCCGAGGTTCATCATGGACTGGCATATCCGTACTAGCCTGCTCCGGGTTCCGAAAACCACATCCACTAGGAAAGACGGGAGTACACATCACATGATTCTTACGGGTCGCCTCATGCTTCCTCTATCCCCAAGTTTCACCCGTACGTCTACCTTTTCTATTTCCATTTCCCTCCGTTGACATGCAGCCCACACAACCTCTGCTTTTGCTTTCCTAAACAGCTTGTCCGGCGTATTTCCGAGTGTCTACTCTATGATCATAGCTCTCTCCTCATCTTGCGACAAGTAGACCCACCCCCGGGCTTCCACTGTCCCTCGGAATTCCAAATCCATTAAGCTTGGTGACAGCCTCGTCAAGCTGACATTAGTCCATATGGTTTCTATCCAAAGGAAAGCATCCTATACTTCCAGCATTACCGTTTGATACGCTGGTTCAAGGTCCGTCCACGTTCCATTTTCCGGGAGGACGACCGATACCCCATCCTTTACATCTACTGGCATTTTCGGACCGTTAGTATAGATCGGGGAAGGCAACCATCGCGCCATCTTGTTTTCAGCATCCGACCCCTGTTTTCATAAAAAGGCACCAACCGATCCTTTTGGTCAGGTCAATCCTTGTCCTAGATGAGAATTATTTTAGACCCCTCATCAAGGTCTCCCTATTTTACCTCCCCCCGGCCATCCATTTGCCCACATTCTTTCTCTTGGTTTCATTCCAATTGACCTCTATCCTCCTTCCTTCCGATCATCTCTCACTCATGCGGACTTAGATGGCAGGGGGAATGGACTTAGAAGAGTGCCCGTCCAACAGTCCAATCTCAATCAATTTTTACAGAGGGGGAACACATAAAAGAAAATCAGGCAACCTCACGTACGGGCCGGTCATCTCCTCACCGGCCATCCCAATATGGTCTCTCCGCTGGTACTATCGGTAGGGTTTTATCCCATACCTCAAGCACAGCTCAACCGTCACGAGCGCGGTACCCAGGTCTCAGCAAGGCATTTGCCCTTTCCTCCTTACCCAGAATACCCCATCCCGACTTGCCGCTCGTGTACCCACCGTTAATCTCAGGAATCACCCGACACATCTCGGTAGGGCCATTGGAGCCAGCCGTCCTGGCATTCACTTCCATCGGTGGGATAAGGAACAGTTTTTCCCAAGCCATGCTACGAGAAGCTCTCAATCGTCTCCGAGGCTCCTTCCTTGCCCCATATAAAGTGGTCCCCCTGCCGTCTGCCGCCAAGCAACCGCCCCGCCTGAAGAGGTTTCACATCGCACCTGGGCAATGTCATCGAGCCATGCTCGAACCGCTCCGGTGAGAATGCTACAAATCAGCCGACGAGACCAACCCTTGTCTGACAGTCTGGTGGCCCGACCCCTACACCTGAAACCTGGTGAACTTCAAA